CTCATCTTTTTAAGTGGGAGAACTTGCACAATTGGTGGCTGACTAAATACTTTTTTGCCCCACTGTATATGCTAATAAAGGACTGGCTTATCTAAAGCCAGTTGAGTAGCACTTGAAATGTTTGGCTCTATGAAAACTGATGTACTTATATGATTCTGTTTTCTTCAAGGTTGTATCTTCCTGGTCGAATGTACTTATTGTAAGTCGCTTTGGATAAAAGCGCCAGCTAAATGCAATGTTATTAATATTTAAATTATGCTGCTTTATACTTCAAATTTAACTTCATTTCAGTGATTATTTAACTTCATTTATTTAATAGCGACTTGAGTTTCTAGTTCGGGCGGTACAAAAGGGTTATCGTTCAACACAATATTGGATGGCAGCAATAACATTCAAAACATTTCTATGATTACACAACGATATTACATTTTGCCACAGAGCTTTTGCTTATTTCAGTGTTTCTTCTCTTGCTTTCCCTTGCTTAACAATTGTTTCCCACAGCTACTTAAGCGGGTCACTCAGGTATATTAATGGAAAGTAAGCTTAATTTCTTTATAAATCATATAATTTATCCTGATCCAAAAACATTCAAGCTCTATTCAGTAAAGATTATTACCATGTGAAGGTAAATTATAATGCTATCATGATTTGTTTAAATGAATCATCCGGAAATTAAGTTTTTGGTGAGAAAAGTAAATAAATTGTTGATTTGCAGGATGTTTTCACAGCAATATAAAAAATACATTAGAGTGGGAATGACCTCAAATGATCTTAAACTGTTAATGAGTGAACAAATGCTTTATTTTTTTTCATTTTGTTAGTGTCTTCATTTATTGAAGTCACACAGTTATAAAGGCAGCTTAGAGTCACATTAAATTATATCTTCTGAATGTCTTACATGTCTAATATAACTAAACATACTTTGGCCATCAAATATAGGGGCTTGAAAATATTCAGTCTATCCAGACGGTTGAATGAACCTGGCACCCATTCCATTAAGTTGGAAGTTACTTTTACTTTGTTGTTACAGCTTGTGTTAATTTTTCACGACCGTCTGTGCCAAGTCAACCTGATTTACTTACTAGGAGCCAGAAGAACTGGTATCCTAGCAACAGAAGCAGATATGTGTACTTTGTTTGTTCTGCATCACAATGTGAGTGTGAGTGTATGTGTGTTTATGCATATGGTGTGTGCTTACATGAGAGCATCTGTGTGTGTTGGTGTGTGATCTTCCCTTATAGAAACTTGCTGTTAGCATGCACACCGACGCCTCTGTCCTGCCTGTAAACGCCTCTGGATTTATAGGCATCTGGGAGGGAAAGCTGTGTACATAGTGCCCTTCACTGTTACCAATGGCCATGATAACACTGTCAGACATGGCTGAGTGATCACAATCCTCTGTCTCACCTCACTTGATAATATTTACTCTCACTTTGAAATGGGGTCTGCTGTACTGCATGCCAATTCTTGACCCAATCCCGCAACAACCTGCTTTTACTGAGGTCATTGGTGGAGGAATTCCTACTGACCTTTTTAGCTGGGAATTACAACATTCCCTGGGCGAGACGATTTGAATCCACTGAGATGGAATCTAATTTACAACAACTGGATCTAATAAAGTGTAGAAGAATGGATGGAAGGCATCCAGCAGTCCCTGTGAGGGATGCTGTGTGCTTTTCATTGTGTCTAATTGAATTAGTGATCCACCCCATGGAACCTCTCCAGATATCACGGAGCTGCACTCGCGTTATACATAAGCTTCCTAACATGATTTATAGTGCTAGCATTCAACTACGTGAAGACTTTATAAATAGATGAAGCATGGGTATGTTTTTTTTCTTTTTAAGATAAGTAAATAGACATGAACTTTTGCAAAGCAGAACGCTTCAAGACAAGACAAGACGGCTCATGACATTAGATAAAGCTCTAAAGGTGACACCAAATAGTTGACTATTTGACGATTCAATCCAAGGAGCAGCATTCAACTGCAAATCTCATTGTCAAATTTTCACAATTGCAGGAAAATGTGGCTATGACACGAAAGATCATTCCATTAAAGCTAGTGATGAATGTCCAATTGTACTTACATTTGCTTGCTTTCTCCCAAGAAATCAAGCTATATATCCTACTTTGATATAATTATCAACCTAACATCACAATTAGAGTGCTATATATCTGTTGTCGTCCGTCAAAATCAGAAGAGGCAGGCACGTAGGAATAGGTGTTTCCATCTTGGAAGGATGACTGCGGACCTTAACGCTTGGAAATTGAAGCCAGCTGTTTATCTTGGAAATGTTGTGCAGTGTTTCCCATACATCGTCCACTACAAATGGATCTCATAAATAAAAAAAATATAATATCTTTTTTCTTTTGTTGGTCTAATGGATAGTGAGGTGGGCTGATGATCGGAAGGTTGCGAGTTCAAATCCCGCCTGGAACACCACTACTTGTGTGCCCTTGACTAAGGCACTTAGCCCTCAGTTACTCCAGGGAGAATGTCCCTGTAATTGGTCATTGTAANACATCTGTACCATTATTATAGAAACAAAACACATATAGATAAAAACATACATTTGATACATTTTATTTTGCTTAGAGGATATTGATGTTAAAGATCAATGATTCGACAGCTGCTGTTTTGATGTTTTTTAAACTTAAATGGTTGAAGTTAAAGGGGACCTATCATGCAAAATGCACTTTTGCGTACTGTGTTTTATACATGAATAATTGTCCCGCGGTGTGTCAGCACAACACAACCCTCTCTCTTTCCTCCATACCCAAATCTCTAAAAACGGGGCTGCAACGGATCTGATACAGACTGATCCAGATTTGAAATATCTCTAACGTCAGAAACAAGGTGCTCCGCCTATATGGGCAACTCTCCACCTATCAGGGGAATGAGAGGTTGCGTGGCATGGTAACAGCATGGTAAAGGCATGGTAACATGACGCTCGTGCCATGCCCCACCCCTTTGCAGGGGGGCGTGGTCAGCAGCAGCTCATTTGCCACAGAATCAGCCCTTGTGAAGACAGCGCTGGAATAGAGCAAATAGAGTGAAATGAGGCATGGCTAAAATGCCTGATCTGTTTGGTATTTTGAAAAAAATAACTTCACAGACATGTTTTATATAGGTATGGCCCTACAATATATTAATTCAAATATAGCATGATAGGTCCACTTTAAACATACAATGGATATCTGATGTGGAGAAGTATCCTTAATATCTGAGAAAATACATCTCAAATTCCAAACAAATGTATTCAATATGACAAGTGCTCTTAAAACTGCATCTAATTACTGAAGGTGTCCCACAGAGCTCAATCCTGGGCCCCATTAGTTTCTCAGTTTACACCTCTTCAGAAAGCTAATCCAACATTTCAAACCATTAAAACCCCTCATGCAGGTGTGACCTCACCTTGTGCAGCTGGTGTTGGGTGAGGGTGGGCGGGGCGTTGTAGAAGTGCAGCACGGCGGCAGGGGGCTGGATGATGTTCCTGCTGCTCTGTGAGCTGCTGAAGCGGTTGTTTCTGGTCAGATTGAAGTCCTGATAGCTGCTGCTGCCGTCCGTCAGCTCAAACACCTGACTGGGAATCACCGCCTGCTGCTTGGACACACTGAGAAGAGAAGGGGGGAGAAAAGATGGAAGGAGACAGTATAAACAAAAACATGCAAAACCAAAAGTAGGAAATAGTTGTACTAAATTACCAGAACATTTGAATAAAAACAAGACTGAATGCTTTTTTTGGTATAATTTATAAACAGTTGGCAGTAGTATTATTCCAGTCGTTAAAGAGCAAAACAAAATATATACTGTACATACATTATTATGACTTTGTTATCGTGACAGCAAACTATAAGAAGAAGATCATCAAAATCTATTCAATATCTATCTGTTGATTTTTTTTTTTTTTTCATATTTTAGTGATATTTTGGGCTCATGATTGCATATACCGTAAAGAAAAACATAACATAGTACAGGTACAGATATGTATTGATTATCTTGTTCTCATAGTTTGCTATCACTATTATAAAATCATATTCAATTCTGTCAACTTGTATTTCAGTGACATTTTGTTCTGATGGTTGCAAGCAAAAAGAAAGGTCAGCAGGTTGTTAGAATCAGTAAGAGTCATTTTGGTCAGCATGCATTAAGATATCAGGACTCACCAGACATTGAGTTTTTTGCCAAACACTTTGATGGTGTTGAGGTGAGTCACAGCTCGATCCACAGCGTACTCATCCCCCATCTCCACCAACGCCGTGCCAGCAACACTCTTCATGAACTTCACCTGCAAACACAACCAATCAGGTCAGGATTTAAGATTATTTCTTCCACACTTTTGACAGGTGACACAATTACATATTTTCCTGTTTATTCCAAAATATGAGCCCAATCTCACTCACCTTCTCCACGTTGCCGTAAAGACAGAAGATGTTGAAGATGTGGCTGCAGTTCATCTTTGCAGGATGGAGGCCGCTCACCATGGCCACTGAGCTGGAGGCGGGATGGTCCATGTAGGAGGAGGAAGAGGAGGTCTTATGGTGTAGCAGTGGGTAGGTTATCATGTCGTGCACCTCCTCACTGCCCCTCCTGTACCTGCTGTTGCCAGGCAGAGGCAGTAGGGGGCAGTGTTGGCCTGACGAGATACACACAACTCCAAGGTTAGACCATAAACCTCATATTATAACATTTAGACACACTGCAGGGATCAGGAGGAAAAGGGGTAGAAAAGAGGGGTAAGCTGAGACACTAGCTGAGATACAAGCAGCATGGTGGACCATGTTTATTCCCCTTTCCAACATGGATTTAAAGCTCTACCTCACCCTCCATTTGGCAAATCAGACCACATTTCACTATTTGCAGTTCGTTTTTTATTTGTTTTATTGTTTTATGTCTTATATATATTTATGTTGGATTGTTGAAGGAGCCTGGGACTTAAGATGTTCAACATAACGTATCTTTAATAACTACAATGTAGCTACCTTACATATGAAAATAAAGCCTTTGAATCTTTGAAAACAGACTGTACCATAGCCGTTGGATGGATGCTCGCCCAGGATGGCCTGACGCTGCCTCCCTTTCCCCCGCTCTGTAACACACATAAACACAAAAACCTTATTAACCTAATAACAGCTGACAGAGAGGTTGTTGCTAGTATCAGTGACTCTCCCTCTCTCTCTCACACACACACACACACACACACACATACATACACAACAGGGTGAAATGTGTCTTGGTGTAATGGTCGGGTTTAGCAGCGGGTGGGGAAAGTGAGCGCTTCCTCTGTGATGGAAATCTATTTTCAGCCTCCCCAGCAGCAGCTTCAGCACCACCTTCAGGCTGCAGTTTAACCTCTGAGTCTCCAGGCAGAGCTCACTGAGATCCACCTCAAGTCAACCTTCACACCAGGAATCATTTATCTGCATCTCACTGCCGCCATTTAGTGATGTGAATGCATAACTAGAACATTATATCGTGCCTTTAGGACGACATGTGCAAAGCAGTTGAGCATTTTACTGAAAAAAACACACACCTGGAGGGATCACATTAAATACAGATCTAACAAGACTAGGTTGAAACCTATGTTGTATGACATATATTTATTAAGTACATGAGTGTGTTCAAATGCATATTAGTATCCTGGTTTGGAGTGTTTACATGATACATATCTCCTCTCTATGTTTGCATGTTTAAATAGTTATTACATTTTCTATGTTTCTATAACTCTTTTTGCAGATGTGTCTTGATTTCTCACCTTGCTAAACATTTGGATAGGATCACATTTTTGAATTCAGCGCCTAGGGCCATATTCACAATTGAAATAGCCTCTTAAAAGCCCTTTTTCCTAGTGTGTGTGTGTGTGTGTGCGTGTGCGTGTGCGTGTGCGTGTGTGTGTGTGTGTGTGTGTGTGTGTGTGTCTGTGTGT